GCATAGGGTGGCTATTTGGATTAAGGAATGAATGTATATTTGATGCAACACAAACTAAATTTCATTTTGTCTGAAGCACTCAAGATTTGATAAATCCCCTGAGAATCTCCAACCTTATTAACTTTTACATTCCTTAGGGATAGGGAACATAGGGAAGCAATTAATTTGAACTTGTGTGTTCAGGGCTTGCCAAACAAAACTTTTGACCAACCATAACAAAAAGAAAAACAATTTATGAAATCTCAAAGGATATAGGATGCTGTATTCATAAAAGATAGTGGTGCTGAAGCCCATATTGATGAAACAAGCTATATGGTACTGAAGACCACAATGGACAACTCTCACACTGCTGTCATACATGTGGGGTTTTTTTGTATAATTTTTTTATTGTTATATACATATATATATAAACATTTAACATGTACCCACCACCAAAGACAAAACATCAAACCTCATGCATCACGATTAAAAATGGATCCTTCCTCTGTCCCTGCTTAAACATATCTGGTTTAACAGTTATTAATAGATGTTAGGTTTACTCACGTATTCATTTCAATCCACTTATATACATTTGACCAAATTTTTTGAAAAACAGAATTCATACTCCCATGGAGTTTTTGTGTTAGATTGTCCATTTCTATCACTTCAATCACTTTATTAATAAAATCCCATCTATCTGGTATCTTATCCTTTTTCCAACACTTAACTAGTGTTATTCTTGCTGCTGCCAGTAAATGAGTCACCACGTCATACATGTCTTTTTGGTAGTTGGATAGATGCAAGAAAAGACACCCATAGACTGCAAAATGTTAACATGTTGAATTATACTATTAAAGTAATCAGGGGGTTTAGTAGAAAAAGAAACTTAGGCTGCGGTCACACGGAGCATTAGCCTTGCTACAGAGACGGAAGATAGGCGGATTTCCCGGGCATGATCACTGTGCCACATCTGGGAAGTGTAGAGCTCCCGTGGCGAACCCAAGGCTTCCCACCTGTCATGCCAGAGATACTGACTTGCAGGATCATCTCAGATAAACGTCTGTAAGTTTAGTCAGAATCAGAATGTCTATAATATAAGTAAATGGGAAACAGCTGGTTAAGGCAGCAATCCCTAATTAGACTAGGACGGGGATTGGGGAATCTAAGAATAAAGATCCGGTCCTAGAGGCAGAATTCAGAGTCATGCATTCTTGATGAAGGAAGACTCATGAACTTGCCCGAATACACACATCTACGCGTTCCAAGCAAGCCAGGAAACTGAAGGCGACAGCTTGACGAATGCCAGGAGTGCTGCACATGGCCTTGAGGAAGCCAAGAGCCGCGGCAAGGATCTTCTTGAACTGTTCACCGTGAGGTATAGTCTGGGTGCAGGGCTGCTTAGAAGACCAAGAGTGTCTGTAAGCAAGCAAGCTTTGGCAGAGCGAACTCTGAAGCAAGTAGCCGAGCCAAAACGGAGGTGGAGTTCCAGGGAAAAGGGAACAACAAACCATTTGTTTAGGATAGCTAGCATAGTTAGGGTTAGGATTTGTCTATTGTCTATTTTATGTGTAAACTCCCCCTGTTTGTTTTAACCTCTTCAATTAAACCTTTATGTTTTATAAGCTGGGAGTCTGAATGAATCTCTGGGCAGTAGAGACTGTTTATGTGCCCTCCTTGCCTCTCCTAAGCTGAGCCTGATTGCCTTGGGAAACAAAGGGGACTCAGGATATCTGAGCACGCTACCAAATTAACCTTGAGTCCCTGGCATATACTGAGGTCCTGAGTTGGAGGACCTGCATTGCTCAGAAATATAGAGAGCCAGTATATGATACCGCCGAAGATGTGGGGTAAAAAACTAGTACCTCCAAGGTACTAGTTTCCAGAAACCGCGGGGCAAGGGCGGGCACCTGATCACGTTTCCAGTGGTAGGTCATGGCATCCAGTGTCCTCCCATGTCCCGTCACTAAAAGGTTTTTTCCCCAAGTCTCCACGGGATGCGCACAAGCACCCAAAGGCACATGTGCACACTTGGTTTAAAAACAAACAACACAGCCCCCTCCTCTTTTCTGCACCCCCCCACTCCTGGCTCGGCCTGCTCGAGAGGAACTCTCTGCACCAGGCGGCAGAGGTAGAGGCGCTGGAAGAGCAGCCCAGCTGAAGCTCCTTCTGGAGGGGACCGGACGGAGGACACATCCCATTCCTCTGCAGCCCTGGAAGGGGATAAACCTGGAGCCTTTTGCTAAGGAGGCCGCTTCTTTGCCACGCTGCAGGATTGTCCTGTGATCGGCACCTTCCCCCCTAACCATGGGACCTCAACGGGACGTCTGATCACGCAGCCGTGCGTTATTTTGCTCCGGGGCAAACAGCCACGCTCCCCCCCACACATTTTCCTGCCCGTGTGACCGGGGCCTTAGTTATGGAGGCTAGCACAATGACTTTCAGTCAATTTCTACTCCTCTTCCTTCTGAAAAGGGACTTGAGCTTCTCTGGTTATTATTATTATTGCTGTTGTTGCTGCAGTTAATTAAATTTATAACTCAGTCTCCCTGGAAACCAGGTTCAGAGTAGGTAGCATCATTTGTAAAAACATTCAATGCATGAGACTGATAAATCACAATAAATAGCATAAAATACAATAAATTACATAATAAATAAATACATCCCAGTATACAGATAAGAGACGGTGTAAAATCTCACGGGGAGTAAGGTATAAAAGAAAAAGAGAAGAGATTAGATTTATAACCTGCCCTTCACTACCTGAAGGAGTCTCTGAGTGGCTTACAATCACTCTCCCTTCTTCTTCCCACAACAGACACTTTGTGAGGTAGGTGGGGCTGAGAGAGCTCTTCCAAGAACTGCCCTTGAGATAACAGCTCTGAAAAAATGTATGACTAACCCAAGGTCACTCCAGCAACTGCATGTGGAGGAATGGGAAATCAAACCCAGTTCTCCCAGATTAGAGTCTGTGCTCCTAACCACAACACCAAACTGGCTCTCTGTCTGATGAGAAGAAAAGGGCAAGGGAAAAGGGGAGAAAGGGATGAGGTCAATCCAAGGTGGAAACTGTCAAGATAGAGCCAGTCGCTGCCCTCAGCCATATGCCTGGTAGAACAACTCTGTTTTGCAGGCCCTGCAAGAGTATTCCACGAGGCTGAAAAGTCCCTGCCCCTGGTTGAGGACAGCCAGATGCTATTTGGGTCAAGGATCACCAGCAGACTTTGGTCACTAGAGCGTAACATTCTTTGGGGGAGACCAGGATAGGCAGTCTTGAGGATATGCCAGTCCCAGACTGTCAGCACCAAAACCTTGAACCGCCAAAACCTTGAACCTGATCCTGTCTTCAATTTGGAGCCAATGCAGCTGATAAAGCACCGATTGTATATGTGCTCTGAAAGATGTTTCTGTCAGAACCCACACAGCTGCATTCTTGACCAGTTGCAATTTTCAGGTCAGTCTCAAGGGAAGCCCTATATAGAGTGAGTTACAGTAGTCCAACCTGGAGGTGACTGTTGCATGGATCACTGTGGCTAAATCAGAGGGAACTTTTTAACCTGGCAAAGGTGGCAAAATGCCAGTTTAACAACATTCATGACCTGAGCCACCATTGAAAGGGAGGAATTCAGGATCACCCCCAAGCTCCGGATGGACAATGCAGATGTTAATGGCACACCATCAAGAGCTGCTAGAAGGGAGAAGACTCAGCAGCTGGCAACAAAGCCACACGGCCACCCCCTCTCTTCTCCTGCCAGCCAGCTGAGCAGAGAGGGTGGTTAAACTTTAACCCCCTTTCTGGAGCCAGTTTGATGTAGTGGTTAGGAGTGCAGACTTTAATCTGGGAGAGCAGGGTTTGATTCCCCACTCCTCCACATGCAGTTGCTTGAAGACTTCATCGACAAGGGAGGACAGAAACCTTGTGGGGCTGTCCCTTTAAGAGAGGGGGCGGAGCCACCAATAGCCCCACCATAGCTATGGGCCAGCACCCAGATGTGTGTGAGTTTATGTATATTTAATGGAGACCATTCAATGGAGGCCTCTTTACCCAAAATATATCAAGCACAGGTAAACTGAAGGACAGGCCTGCCACTGTGATCCCACTACCTCCTTCATTACTTTGTATTTAGCACTTGATATTATTATGAGGAGGGTATTTTCGCCTACCCTACACCATCAGCAGGGGTATTGGGCAATTGGCCTGGTGGTGCCATTTAAATAGGTTGGTCACTTGGCGGGATAGTGTGGGGTAAGGAGAAGTGGATTGAGGAGCATCAATTGGCTCCCCCCACCTTTTTGGGGGGGCAAGTGGTCTGTCAAGACCAGGCTTCAGTTTGTGTGGCTCAGGGCTGGGAATGCAGGCTGCCTGTAGGAACCCCCTGGATAGCCCTGCCTCCTAAGTTGTGCTGCTTGGGGGCTGGAGGGGCTTGGTGCAGCTGCAAGCCACGTAATTATGGCTCGGGCCAGGGGCAAAGAGGCTTGCCTAATGTGGCAAGGACGGGTTGGGGGAGACCCCTGGCCTTGCCATTCTGCATTGTCAGGTTGACCTTGCTGCTTTCAGTTGCTGAATAAATAAGGTGACCCTTAGTTATCCCAGCACTGTGTCTGTCTCCTTCTTTCAACTGAGGGGGAGGGGGGGCAATAATTGTTCTGAAAAAAACAAGCTGGACTAAAACTGATTAAATGTTTCATGTAGATCATGTAGATCATGTAGATCATGTTCTGAAAAAAACAAGCTGGACTAAAACTGATTAAATGTTTCATGTAGATCATTCTAAGTGTTGTGCAGATATTTAAAATCTGAGAATGCTTTGTTAAGGATCCCTAGACCAACCTAACCCATCTCAATGCAAATTACAATTCCCAGTTTCCCGGGGAATGATGAAAGACTGTTAAGGTAATTTAAGTACACATCTGCCCATTCACTAAGCAACAACGACAAAATCACCTCCTACTGTTGATGTAATGACCCAAATATCTGAGAAAAAACAGATTGTGTACATGCAACAATGCTCCATGTGGATGACAACTTAAGCAGCTTTCCCCATCATTTTGGACAAAGCCCCTTTAACATCCTTATTCCTTAAGCTGTAGATGACAGGGTTCAGCATTGGGGAGACCAGCGCATAGAAGACTGAAGCTCTCTTCTCCTGATCTGAAGCACGGTTGGAGCGGGGCTGCAAGTGAGTGAAGCCAATGGTAGTATAGAACAATGTGACGACAGTGAGATGTGTGGCACAGGTAGAAAATGCCCGTTGGCGTCCCTTGGCTGAATTCATGCTGAACACCACCCGTGCAATCTGGATGTAAGAGATCACTATGAAGGTGAAAGGCATCATGAGGACAATAACGCTGAGGGCAAAGATGAGAACCTCCACCATGTATGTGTCCATGCAGGCTAGCTGTAGCATAGGTGGCAACTCACAATAGAAATGGTTGATCTCATTGGGCCCACAGAAAGGGAAGGATGCCATGACTGATGTCAACACCACAGCATTAAGGAATGCCCCAGTCCAGCAGGCCCCAGCCATCTGCATGCACACCTGCATTCTCATCAGGGTGGGGTAACGCAGTGGCTGACAGATAGCTACATAGCGGTCATATGCCATGACAGCCAGGATGAAGCATTCAGTCATCCCACAAGAGAGAGTCAGGTTGAGTTGGACCATGCATCTGTTGAAAGCGATGGTCCTAATCCCAGAGGCCATGTGGATAAGCATTTGAGGGATTGTGATCAATGTGAAGAGGATGTCCAGCAAAGAAAGATTCCCAATGAAAAAGTACATAGCTGTGTGGAGGTGGGAATCAGTCCAGACCAAGAAGATAATCAGGCTGTTTCCAATCACAGTGGCCAGAGACATGGCGAGGAATGTAACCATGAGGAGAGGCTCCAAAGTGGGGGGACTGGTGAAGCCTAAAAGAGTGAACTCATATACAGAGGACAAATTCTGGCCCCACATCTTTCTCACCAACTCAACCTGCAATGACAGTATAAGTCATGACTGTAAAAAGCTCTGCTTGCAGTGCCTCAATTATACAACTCTAACTCTTGATTAGCAGATTGTGTATCAGATCTCATTGACTGAAACATTCTAAACCAACTTTTCTACCTCTAAGCCTCTTCCTCCTTCCTTTTCATTGTCACAGAGTCTCGGATTTCTCAGCTACATTTGAATCTTGGCCACCATGTTTTCCTATGCCTTGACATCTGTTATTTGAGAACTGCAGGGAAATTTTACTACACTCTGTTTCCCCTTCAAGTTGTATAAATGTAATTTTGCACAGTTTCCATTTCAGTAGAAGTGTTCTGTTATTAGGGTTACCTACTTCCAAGTGGGTGGAGCTGCGGTGGCTCAAGTGGTTAAGACGCTGAACTGCAGGCTGTGGGACAGTGCTGGCTCTTCGGCTTTGAAACGGAGATGAGCACCGCAACCCTAGAGTCGGATTCGACTGGCTTTCGAGCAAGGGAAACCTTTACCTTTACTTCCAAGTGGGACCTGGAGTTCCCCCAGAATTACAATTGCTCTCCAGGTTACAGAGATCTATTTTCCTGGAGGGAATGAAAAGTTCACAGGATGGACTCTATGGATTTCCAGCTCCCCAGGTACCACTCACAGATTTCCAGGAATTTCCCAGTGTAGTGTTGGCAACCCTGTCTGTTATATAACTTTTTAAAATGGCAATTTAATCGTGCTAAGGTTCTTATTTAAATTACATCAGGCACACAGTGTTCCTAGTGGTGGCAGAACTTACTGAAAAAACACAATGTGCAGAACCTTATTCCATGTCCAGCAACATGTGCATATGTTTTCACAATTTTTTTTTTTGTGAGCAAAAATATCTGCATTAAAATATATTCACTAAAATATGAGGCAGTCCAGTCTTCTGGGAAGCTACAAGGCCTGTTGATGCATCAGCCCTGATCATCTCTGCTGTTTCAATTCTACTTAAAAATAGGCTGCTAACTATTCACTATACTAAATAAATTTTGCAGTTCTTTGTAAGCAAAACAAAAAAAGCTCAGACAGTCGCACTAGTGCCTGAGCCCATACACTAGGGTCTAGCTGCTAACTATTCACTATACTAAATAAATATTGCAGTTCTTTGTAAACAAAACAAAACAGCTCAGACAGTGGCAATAGTGCCTGAGCCCATACACTAGGGTCTTGACCAACAGTATTCACCCTTAGGCTCATGGTGAGCTACATTCGCAATTACCATCAACCAAAAGAGCCAAATCACTGCATGCCTGGCACATCACTTCACCAAACACACACATATGATAATATAAGTAGTAATATTAAATGTATAATTATAACCAGATGCTGCAGAGAAGAATCGTGGTGTTCTTGGAGAGGGCTGGCCCATTATTTCTATTCCTGGAATGAGTCCCACAAATCAGTGAGGCTCACAGCTTACCCATCCTCCAGTCCCTCTGGCAAGGGCTGTTTCAAGGTGTGAACAACCTGCAAACCACAAGCCCCACCAGACAATGGCCTAGATCAGTTTCCTGGAACATGAAGCAGATGCCACACTGGGGGAATGTTGCTTTGAAAAACCACAAGTATTGTGCCAAATAGCTACAAGTGACTTCCGAGACATTGCATGTGTATCACTTCACTGGACATTGTTTCATTAAAATGTGCTGGGACTAATTTATTTAATATTTCTTTTAAATTCATGTTCTCAACATTCGACCTTGTAAACGTAGTTAACCCCACTGATTACCTGTGGTCCAAAATACATCGACCCCCACTCTTTTTGGGGAATATTGTAAAAATGTTGAATATCATACAAAACTGAATTTCTCCTTCTTTCAATGTGAATTGACTGAAACCATCTGAAAGCATTGAAGTAATGTGTGAACATATAAAGGTACATAAGACACATGTAAACTTGTAGCTCATATATTTTTAATGTACACATTAAGCAAAAGAGCTTTCTTAGTTACATGGATCATAGAGACATGTCAAGGCCCCCTCATCCTCAATCCAAAGTGATGATGTTTAGCAAGAGCTAAACCATGTGGCTCTGCTGATCATGTGCCTTTGTTATGTTGTGCAGCCATATCACAACTGACCTACACATTGCATTGTGGGTAGTAGCATCAGGCTGATATTAAATGAAGTGTTTGCCTACTGATGGACATGCTATGCCATATAGTCGAGCCATTTCCTTCCTTCCAGCAGGGTGTGCGTGTGAGATGAAGACTCTGGCAAGAAACTCCCAATGAGAATGCTGTAGACTAGAAACACACATTGGCAATGTTTTCAATAGCCACTATGGGAAGACGTCATACTTCCCTAGCAAAGGAGCTTCTTTGCATAGAAAAAGACCCAGGTTCAGTCTCAGAAATCTCTAACTAAAAGGATTAGGTAGCAGATGATGTCAAAGATCTCTGCATAAATCCTGGCGAGCCACTGCCAATCTGAATAGACAGTAATGATCTCAATAGACCAATGGTATAATTTAGTAGAAGGCAGCTTCATATGTGTTCAATCAAACTATATTGACATCAGACTTAAAAAAAACTTGCTTAGCAGACTTTAAAAAATATTTTACTTGCAAAGTGAATTATAATTTAGTTTTGTTGTTGTTGTTGTTTTTGCCTGCATACTAGAACAGCAAACCGAGATTAAACAACCATGGTTTGGAATTGTGGTTTATAGAAAAGAAACAAACCCTTGTTTGTGGTTGAGACTTAATAATAATAATTTGCTGTGAACCAGAAGTCTTTGGTACTGGAGCCATGAGTGATGGAAAAGGAACACATGAGCCCCAGAACTTCCCAAGTTCATTTTCATAGTGACAAACCATTCCATCGGAATACAGCAACAGGCTATATTGAATTGCATATAATAGTTTTATATCAAAACATGAAACTCTGTATACACACAGAACTTCCTGCTTTAGACAAGATCACTTACCTGGTCTCAGATCCATTGATCTATGGAAGCCCTGGCAACTTCTTTGAGTACTTTGGACAGATCTTCATCTGTAATAGGGTTTCCAGCTGAGTTCCTACATGGATAGAACAAGCCAGCAGATCGTTTGAAGGCACCATCTAGGACCTACTAGAGACTGGTCAGAATCCAAATTGGATTTATGCTACCCTGGGATACAAATCAAAGCCTATCCTCCAAAATGAACAACAATCGTGCTTCTATTGATTAATTTCTATTTCAGTAGGACTACTCTGTTTGCTACCAGAACTACTGCCACTTCTACTATGAATACAAGTAACTACTAAAATAACTGTACAAGCAGTAGATATCTGTGAGGAACTGCATGCACATGGAAGCTTATACCTTGAATACAACTTTGTTGGTCTTAAAGGTGCCACTGGAGTCAAACTTCTTTAAAAAAAACCTGGAAAAATATTGTCCCATACTTATATATGCAAGTAAGTGCTGCTAAGTCACAACTGACTCATGGTGACCAAGTAAGTGGTTTTCAAAGCAAGTGAGAAGTAGAGGTGGTTTGCCATTGCCTTTCCTTGGTGGTCTCCTATCCAAGTACTGACCCTGTTTAGCTTCTGAGATCTGATGAGACTGGGCTATACATGCCACCTTCCCTCCCTGCACAATACTTACATGGTATAAAAATGTTCAATGCTCTCATTATATGAGGATCCGACAGTACACCATTGTTCAAGCATAGAACATGCAGGGTAATCTCACAATACCTATTGAACTAATATGTATACATCTTCCTTTGAGGTTCTTCCAAGCATAGAACATGCAGGGTAATCTCACAGATACCTATTGAACTAATATAATGTATACATCTTCCTTTGAGGTTCTTATCTGAATTTTTAGATTTTATTTGAAGTATTGGAAAGATCTACTAACTTACTGGCAGTGGGTTGGATCCAACATTTCTCATCCATTAAAGGTTAATCCACTATTCACTACAAAGGAGTCCTCTAGTGGGAGAGGACTATACTATTAGTAGAATTTGCAACAAAATATTGCATGCCTCAGGTCCTTGGACGTTTAAGATATATTTGAAAGCACATTAAAATGTCAAAAATGACATGTTGGACATTGATCCACTAGGGAGAAACCGCAAAAATAACCCTGGACTAATACATTTATTTGAACCAAATAAAAATAATAAAGAATGCAAGATCCAGAACAGAGAACGGAATGGTTAAGGGTGGAAGATCCAGTAGCCTTCATACCATTCAGAAGTAAAATATTCAGAAGGGCATATACAACTAGAATATTTTTCTGCACCTTACCAACTGCAGACAACAAACTTGATGCCCTCATGAATAGTTAAATCCCTAGAAAGTTCTAAGCCTGTTATCTTTTGAATTCCTTAGGCACAGGTGCCTACAGAAGCAATTAACTTGGTCTGAGGCATACTTTGGACTTTCCAAACAGAACTTTAATTCAACTCTAGTCCCAGGCAAAATTCCCCTTACTACATCCCCTATCATGAATGGCTTCAGTCCATGGTAGTCCCATCATCTGAATTGTTTTGGTGGTCAAAGGTAACCCCTCTTTCCCCCTCCAGGAGGGAGGGGGAAGTAGATGGAAAGCTGAAGTCAGAGGAGCAGATCAAGGTAGCTTGATGGTTGGCTGGGAAGGAGATAGGGTTGCCAATGCCAGGTTGGAAAATTCCTGGAGATTTGAGGGGTGGAGCCTGGAGAGGGTGGGGTTTGAGGAGGGGTGGGACCTCAGACAGGTACAATGCCATAGACTCCACCCTCCAAACCAGCCATTCCCTCCTGGGGAACCATTGTTGCCAATCTCCTGGTGAAGGCTGGAGAGCACTCAAAATTACAACTGTTCTTCAGGTAGCAGAAATCAGTTCCTCTGGAGAAAATGGTGGACTCGGTGTCATTATACCCTGC